GTTAATAAACAATTCAAGTATATGAAAACATGCACCGGGTCGGCATTTTTTTAAATTCAATTTTACAAAAAAAAAACTGTGCTTTGAATTGAGGTTATGGTCAATGTTTACAACAGAGCGGACTATAAGCCTTGCAGCGCTATCTTGAAGATTTAGTTCCTCCCCACTTTTTAGCGAATTTAACCAGCCACGGAAAATACATTGCGAGCATAAGGAGTTTCATAGGCCTGTTTAGAAACAAGTAGACACTGGCGCCCTCCCGAGCGATACGATATAATTACTAACAGACTGAACCGTCTCTTTTTGTCTCCGGGTTTCAGGTTACCGGGTGCTGGGAAGCGCGGAAAAGGACGTGTCAGTTGTTATCGCAACTGACAAGGATATCGATGCTTACTTACAAATGAAACGTTTTTCAATACTTAACATCCCAGCTTTCTGGTATCACTTTTACAGTTCATCACACAACAAATAATTTTAAACAATTTTATTAATTGATTATCCACGACCCGCTGGAAGAGTTGATATGAAGAGTCACTGATCTTTACAAGAGTGTACTTGCTTGCTTCATGAATTTGTACCGTGTATGTATTTGAATTCAAAGGTACTTGAGCTTGAGACGACGCTTCTCATCGTTTTTAGTTCCATGATTGATTTTCCCGGTTCCGTGGATTTGCGACATTTGCGTCAGTAGTAGGTAGTGGGGTTAAATACTATTTGCAGAAATTTATGTTGACAGGTTGACATTTATCATATATCAGATATTTTGAGGTTTTCTCTGCAGTAATGAATAAACAATGCGATTTATATGAAATTTTTGCCCTTAAAATATATTAAGGATTTTACTGAATAATTATGTTTCGAGAGCCACACAATGGAATATTTTTTTGTATATTTTTTGTTTGAAAGTAATGGTAATTAATTCCGAAACTACACTGTGGAAGCTGAATTCAGATAGGACTAAGATCGTCGAGGCCAATCCGTTTCGTCCTGTCGTATCTTCTTCAATAGATACGCCCAACGGAGAAGAGTATCTTGATGATGATACCCTTTTTGACATAATCACTTCTACTGAACATTATGGTCAGTCTTGGGTTAAGCAAGCTGTAGAGTACTACTGCACTACTTGTCAGTACAAAGGAAGAAGGTAAGGATATTGTATGTACCTTATCCATTTAGTTATTTAGTATCGCTTATGTACAATTCTTAACTCAGTACAATTTATAAATACGTATTTTTGTAGGAATAATACAAATAATACTCGTATGCATATGACATCACAAAATATGAGAACAAATAAGAATAATGAAGATGTGTTGGATTGTGGTAAACCTGTCAATTTTACTTACGTCGACAATTTAGTGGGCATTCTAAATAGGAATAGACATCCTAGTGTTCCGGAGCCTCAAGCTATTTTATATTTTAATAAAAACTATGGCAAGACAAAAAATGAAGTAGAAGACTATGACATTGACCTCTTGGAACGAAAACTAAAAAGGGCCAAAAGAGAAGTTAGTATTAAGTTATTCCAAGGATATATTAACCTTATTACATCTAATACAAATAAATATATTTTTTAGAAACCAAAATCAGTTCAGTTGTACAATCAAATTGGTAACTTTTGGAGAATAAAAGGTGATGCTAGTAAAGCAATAGAGTGTTTCCGAAGAGCATTGGCTGCTTCACCACAAAATGCAGAGGTACTTTTAAACCTTGCCCGTGTTCTATTTTCCTTACAGTATTTGGATGATGCAATCTACTTAACTAGAAGGTCCTTGGAACTTCAACCTCCTGATAAGGGGGCTTGGCAGCAATATTTTACATTAGGAGAGATTTTCAAAGCCTACGGGCATTATCAAGAGGCCTCAATACATTTAAGACATACTTTGGAATTAAATCCTGGCTTCGAGCCAGCACATTTGGCACTGAAAGAGATGGAGACTATGCCTGCTGCCACGATACACATATACACTTTGGTAATTATTGTTTGCCTGGTGAGTTGATAAGAAGCTGGTAGGTTCATATTATTACTAGAGTTCAGAAATATGTGGTTTTAACCTTGAACGGCTTTTATAAATGGATTGCTTCATTCATGGGTTTACAGGATACATGTGTGCGATTGCTCATCCTGGGACTGAACAGGTTCTGTTCATGGTATATTTTCACTGATATGATAGACAGGATATAACCTTTTTTATCAGATAATTATTGTTAAAACGTGAATTGCATTGTATTCAAATATAAGCTTTTCAAGGATGAAACAAATTTATTTTAACCACGTATACCCAAGTGTATAAAAAATGGTCACTAATTAAATCAAATGGTTTACATCTGATGAACATATGTTTACTTTAAGAGCGATTCAAGGTTAAAACCATGTATGTCCGAACTCTGATTATTACTCTTTAAATAGAGTTACTTTTTTTAGGTAATAGAGTTAAGTTTTATAATTAAAGACTCAGATATAAAGCAAAGCCCCAGACGAACTGAAAGAAATGTAACTGTAATAAAAGTTGAAAACCAATGCTTGAAAAAAATATGTATTTCCTTGAGTAATAGAGGAGTAAAGAATATATAGATACTTACTATAGAATACCAGCCATTTCACTTACAGACGTGGTACTAATTAAATGACAAAATATTTTAGTGTTTAAATACCTTAGTATAATTCCTGATTTTAAAATATATGGTGTTAGGAAAAAGCTCTGGACATATAACATTAATAGTTTTAGTTCATGTGTATTTGTATGATGTTATGATATATAAAATCCTATCCTTAACTGTTGATACACTTTTCTCTAGTCAGATCTATGAACTGGCTCATTTAGCTTTCCATTAGACAAAACAACCTATTAAAAATTTTACTGTTTCAGGTATTAGGTGTACTTCTGGTAATTTTATCCTCTCCTGACAACATGGCTGATTACGTAGAAGAGATAAAGCCCCAAAGACATTTTAACAAAGCCATGGCTATGCGATCTCTAAAAGGTATTACAATGACAGCTAAACGTTGTAAAAAATTAACAACATAGCGAAGCTCATTGCGACCTTCATTAAGACTTGGTTGTTTTTTTTTTTAAGTGATATGTTACAGTTATTTTGTTTGTACCTGTACGATTTGCTCATTTTATATTTTTTTTTGACTAACTTATTAAAACATCTTACAGCAATATGTTTTTTTTTCTAATTATGTAATTGAATCCAAGTGCATTTTTTTTTTTCGATAATCCGTCATGTTCTGTAATGTAGCTGGTGCCACATTACAGATAATAGGTACTGGATTATCGGAAAGTGTCTATCGCGATCGCTGAATGCGCGAATGAATGAAGTCGTAGAGCGAATATGATGTTCATAGATGCAACATGATGTTTCGTAGCAAATACTGTCAACATGGACATTAGGATAACCATTTCGACTCAAATAAAAGTCAAAATCTTAATTTCAATTGTACATTTTAAAGAATACAGAATTATTTTTATATTGTGTTAGAGTTTTTACCACTTGTCGATGGTTTAGAAAACATGTTCATCTTTTAATCCTAGTCAAACACACTTTGGACTATTGCCCAATCGTGGCACGCGCTTCTGATTGCTGCGAACGTGATCATCTGAAAATTCCTGCTGATGTGGGATTATCAGCATTCCGGACCATTGGATGCCAGACTATTCGAAGTCTGCGTATGATGATCAGCAGTTTTGTGGTTCTAAGATATAACTACTTCTCACAGGCTGATCTCTGATGTTCAAATTGAAATTAAAGCAACATGTAAAAAATAACTTAGTTCAAATAAAATATTTCTTTTGTGTAATGGAATATTGGAGGCAGTGCATACATTATTTACTGTGAATATAGTTCACACATTAAGTATACAGCTGTTAGTGTAAAGCATTCAAGTAAGAAAAAATTTTGAGTTTGCCTTGCCTACGGAATGACAAATTTCTATTTGTCAACCTAAAATTTAATTACTACAATAATGTTATCAACAGAAAGTATATTATTACATGTTTAGTTTTTGTGATTAAGTATGGGTAACAACGAAGAGCCGAAACTAGAAACTATTCCTCCAGACCCAAGACATTATAACCAAAATGTTACGCAGTGGTGTTTTTCCTCGTTCGTTGACTACCACAAATGCATCAGACTGCTGGGAAAAAAGTAAGGTTTTATTAATTTTTATATACGGTCAAATATGGTAGTTTATAAGATTACTTGTATAACCGCATTATCCCATTTTTTATTTTGTTTAGGGTATATGAGCTTGGTCACAAATGAATTGGTACAAAGAAATTAATATAACTATATTTGTGGGTTATTGTTATTTAAAGTAATAAATAAGAAATATTGGTTAATTGCTAACACTATATAGATTAAATAAACTTAGTTGCTTTTGTTAAAGTTACAATAGCTTTTTAAATATCAATTTGGAAATATAATTCTAGGTCACATATTTCCATGGTCCAACACGTATGTGACTGGGCTCATATTAGTTAGGTAGCTGTAATTATTCTTTTGGCTAATAGACATTCATACCAATGCTAAAAATTGACTTTTTAGCCGAAAAATCGGAAATTCTGTAATAGTAGTTGTGAGAAAAACCCCCTCTGAGCTACAGTCATTGCAAAGTTGTGAGAAATAAATTGTTTATTTTGAATTGACTACAGTTACACATCAAATTCCCACAACATTTGCAAGCCCCTGTACTTTTAGGCGCTCTATTTACTTTTTGCATAACTGTAGTCATAGTTTAAAATTATCGATTTTTTTCATGCAAATTAGGTATGATGGCTGCAGTTCGGAGGGGATGTATATTAAGACACATAGGAAAAACTCTTGTTTTGACCTCAAAAATACAGTCTTAAAATCATTGTAGAGAATTTTGAAACACCTTGAATTTTGTATAAACATACTATCTTCAAAGAAATGTTTCTGTCTCCACTTTATTTTCAATAAAGTGTGCTTCATAACAAATTATGTTAAAAATAATGATCTATAAGATCATTATCGCCGCGGCAATAGCTCAGTGAGTAAAACGCCAGGTGGGAGTTACTGACTACTCTGGAAGAGTTATAATCCGTACGGGTTCGAATCCCGTCTGTGGCAATTGGCACCTGTCACAGGGTTTAGGTGTGTGTCCTACGTCTTTTCCATGTGAACTCTCCCTCTGCACAGTTGTAATGATTCCTAGAGGGAGATTGTCAATTTCTGTGGTGTGATTTATTATTATTATGATTTTTTCATATATGATATGACAACAATCCGTAATATCAAGATTTTCTTATAGGAATCCTGGCTGTGAGCAATTTGCAAAGATATATAAAGCTATTTGTCCCAATAGTTGGATAAGTCGATGGGAAGAACAAATCGATGTAGGAACATTTCCAGTAGACCTTCCACCAAGTGATCCACCATGCAAATCCAAGAAAAAAATGAAACGCGCGATATATCTAATTATACACATATTATTGAAAATAAAAATTTAACAAAAACAATTAATTGTATTTTCCTAAAAACTTGAAGTCATAAGGTGAGAGCCACCTATGGCAACCACCCATGTTATTCTGAATGAGGTACTTCATGGTATAGGGGGTTTTGATTATTTTCTTCTTCCCATTTCTCTTTTGCCTTCATTTCAGTAAGCATTTCCTGTGACACAGCCATTGCTTTAAATGGCAGTTTCATAGCTACATCTTCTAGGAAGCCTTTAACTTCTTTGAATTCACACTTGCCACCAAGTTCCAGTATTATACGACCTACAAAGTTTGTAGCACCATGATTACTGAATATAGGGCATAATACAGTAGAACGTCATTTATCCGCATTAATTAGGACCGAGGGTTGTGCAGATAACGATTTTTGCAGATAATCGAACATGCGTTTATATTTGATACAGAACAACACGTAAATTATATGTACGTACATAATGCAGTTTTTCTTTATTTATTGCTGCAAAGTTAAGAGTTCAGACTTGTATTTTACATAATTCAAAATTCATATTTTATAGAGAACTGTACTGTACAATGAAAATTATGTATATAAAATACGCAGCTGTTTTTGTTTTGTTGCCCATGTGGGTAATTTATGTGAGGATAAACGATGTTTGACTGTATGTATATTAGTTAACTTATACTCATGCAGTATATAGTGTATGTAAAGCCGACATCGGCCGATTATGAAAAAGGACAAAGTCTACACTTCTCGTTCTAAAGTGGTGAGAGGGCCGGTCTGATTTCTCACTACCTTCGATGCTTATGTGGTTGCTTCTTATCTGTCGTCTCACCTCTGTTTGTACTTTTTCATTACTGGCCGATGTCGGTTTTACACAGTCTGCATATGTAAAACCTTTTTTATTTTAAAAAATATTTATGAGTAAACCTACATATAATAACCTATTATAAGAGTAAAGAAAGGTAGTTATTAGATGAAAGTTACCTGCTTTCACTGGGGTGACATATTGATCAATGGCTCCTTTCCCACCTCCCATTCGTTGCCCTTGTCCTTGTCTCGTTAAGGGCTGCCAGGGAGGATCAACACGCCATATAGCAAACATTCTGTCCGCATCCATTTTACGACCTATGGTGAGTCGCATCATCTCAAAGTGGCCCCACTTTATTCGACCTCCACACAGCGCCTTCAAAAATAAATAATCAATACCCATAAAGTAATTAATGAAAAGAAACTACTACCATAATTCCATATTGTTTGTGCATTAAAAAATTATGTATCTCCTCTGGGCCTCGCATTAATCTTAGTTTCTTTTGCATTTTAGGAGGTTTCACATTAGGCGGTAGAGTAGGAACCTTGTCAATGAACTTTAATTTTGGTTTATCAGGGAATTCCACATCTGTAAATCACAGCATATATACACGAGGATCTCTATTTTTTATGTGCTAGAAATTATTTAATATAAAAAAATAATTATACTTACTGTCGTAGTTTGGAGGTGGTGGAAAATGTTTTATTCCACATTTTTTGAAATAATGTAATTGTAGGTACTGAAATAAAACAAATATTTTATATGATATGCACACATTAACAGATTGTATATATTTATAGTAATTAATTACCTCGCAAAATAACTAATTTTTGAATATTCATTGTATTTGATGCACTTTTAATATTATATTTAAGTCAATAACATAACACCCAACACAAAAAGTAAGGTTAGTGTTAGTAGGTGTCAGTGTAGGTAGGTCTAAAATCACAACATTAGACCGAAGAAGCGAAGATAATAGGCACAAAATATCTTATTAGTAGGTTTTAGAAAATGCCAGACTAGAAATAAGAGGAATAATTTTAGCACTGTACTGGTCGAAACAGAGACTTGACCAGTGGCGGTGGGCTATAAGGTGCGCTGGTGCGCGCGCACTACCAACAATTTAGCATTAATAATTTTATTTAGTAATTAATGGATGCATTCTTAATTTATCGCCTTGCCGCATCCCTAGCGTTAATACCATCTGAATATTATTTGGCCGCAGCGTTACGAATCCACTAGACGCTAGGGTTTATCTCCAACGCCACTGGTTTCCGATCGCGGCGCGGGAGTCGACACGCGCAATACGAAAAAGCGGCATGACGATCATGCTTCCGTGCAATACGAAAAAGCGAAGGCGTATTGTTACTGCTTGCCCCTCCACAATTATTACGCGTAGTGGGCGAATCCTATAGATATGATGTACGGAGTTTAAGAGCGCACGAGAGTTATCGATCGGTTGGTTTGTGAATTGTTTTCGTACATTGCGATTGCTGTTTTATCGCTCACGTTTTATAAATATAAACTCGGTTACAATCTAGTTTGGAATAATGAATTATATTCAAAACTTATTAAAAACTCCATTCTCTAGCTTGAGTTTGGAGGAAAAAGTGCAAATTAAAACTCTAGGTAGACCCACTCCACAAATTAATTTAAAATTAGCCGTGAAAGGAAAAAGTAAACAATTTGTAAGAACATTTAATAATGACTTATTTAAAAAACATTTGTGGTTAAGTGGATGCGATGTATTGAACTCAGTGTTTTGTTTGGCGGAGAAACACCTTGGACCAAAACTGGAGTAACGGATTTAAATCACATAAACGAGAAAATAAAAAAAACATGCAAATTCTGCTGAATAATGTTTTGAATTTAGCCATGCTAGGCACTGCAAATATTGCGACAATGCTCGATTCTGCTCATCGACGAGCAGTGGCAGCACACAATGAAGCGGTTTCAAAAAACAGGTATGTTTTAAATATTATTATTAACTGTATTCGTTTTTGTGGAAAATTTCTATTTAAAACGAATAAAGACATTTTTGCGCAACACCATGTGCCAGGAAAGACTGTCGGCTTTGGCTATGCTCTCCATTGAAAAAGACTTTATTACAAATATCGAAAATTTTAACAACAATGTAATTGAAAAATTTGCACAATGTAAAAATCGCAGAATTGAGCTCATTTACAAAGAAAATTAGGTAAGTTTTCAAATTAATAGAGTTAATAAGAATAACCTTAATATGAGATAAATATTTATCTCATATTAGGGATATTCTTATTATTCTTATGATTATCGTTATTTTTATGTATGGTGCACCCCCAATCTTAGGAGCACGCACCGCCACTGGACTTGACTGTTACTTATATATATTTAAGGGTTGAGACATAAGAGAATTCTAAAAAATATAATTCATGAACTCCAAATGAGCACCTAATACATTCATGGGTTGCAGACCATTATGTGCCTTTTTTTTTTGTTTTCGCTTTCTGGCTATCACCACGCTGATGAGTTCCATTAGAACGAAACAGCTGTCCGTGGTTGGTTGAAGCCGAAACTTCTGGTTGTGATGAATAGAACTGTATTTTACGGCAGCCTCTGATAAATTCTTAAGGCCGCTTTACAGTTCGCAATTTTTATTACACGCAAAAAAATTGCAGCAATTTTTATTATTGTCTGCACGCGTATTAATATCTGTTTGGACAATTTCTTAACAAATAAACACAAATACGCGTGCGCCCAATAAAAATTGCTCCAATTTTTCTTGCGTGCAATTTATTTATTTATTTATTTAGCTTATGGCATGACACACTCTATATAAAATAGCATATTGTGGCGAAATCACCAGCAGTGTGCGTCGACGGCCGGTCGACCGTGGAGCGGCACAGGTGTTGTTTGGCGACACGGCACCGCGATGCGTAAGCCCCGATGATATTCGAGAACCGTCGAGCGAGCGGGCTCTCGATCGCGCTGGTGCAGCCTCCACCGTTCGAGAAGACCGCTCGCTTGGAATAAATAACCGGGGATTCGGCCAGGGGTCTCCAGTTCCTATTTGAATACCGGCGCGGCTTTCCGTACAACGCTCTAATATAAATTGTATAAAAATAAATTAGTGTAGTTAAATAGTGTTAGCCCGTAGTTGTAATAATTAAATAAACAGTGTTAGTTTAAAAGTCCGAGTTTAATTTTTCACACCTCACGAACCCGAAATAAATAAAAACGTTACAATATAAATATACGATATTAAGATACAAAGTATACACAAAACAAAACAGTGTAAATTGAATATTGACATCAAACACGCAAAAAAGAATGTATATAAACATAAAGATCAAATAAAATAGGATAGGATTGCGTGCAATAAAAATTGCGAACTGTAAAGCGGCCTTTAGATCATAGAAATTAAAAATTTACAAATCTGTGAGATACACGTTTGGCTGTGTACACAGTATGCATTAGTAATTGTGTGGGATATTAAATTTTGTTAGATGAAGGGACAGCTGCTAAAGGGAAACATTGAAAAGATTTTTCAGGAATTATTTTTGAAAAATATATATGAATGAATATTAATATGCGCTTAGAAAAAATGCGTATATGTAATTTGGGTGTATTGATTCATTTAATAACAACGTATAACAATCTGCACTAAGTAACTATCATTTTGACATACTTAAAGCTTTAGAATCACCTCACAGTATTAACAAAATTAAGTCTTAATAATTGATATAATAATTACTTTTGGTTTATTCTATAATATTTACAATAAAAAATATATTAATATATTTAATATTAAAGTTACTTGTGGTAGGAATGTAACAACCAATTAGAGTAATCTCAAAAAAAGAAATAT